AATTAACTATCGCAAACTAAATACATCCCTTCTATCGTACACCTCACTGCTATTGAAATTTCTTCAGAGTAGTGTTCAATGCAGCTCTGGACGATGATTCCGACATTGAGTTTTAGTGATTTTCTGGCTGAAAACGAAAGAAGATAGTCATTGAATGCCTGTAACTATGATCCGACAAATTCTGAAGTTTACAGGCGTACGCAATTTATCATGATATTGTTTTTATTTTAATTCCCTATGACAAATCGAAGTAGAGTATTTCATTTTTGATCTTGATCATAGATTGATTGTCAACTATCAAATAAAAATAATATATTTTCGACTGTTTTCACTATCAACTTTGAAGGATGTAACTCTAATTTTAATTTTTGTTTTTGTTTTAAGAGATTTCTCTTCATGCTCAACTTACATTGTATTCAGAAAAGAATAGTATGTTTATTCTTTTTAAGATTAGTGTATTTCAACCGAAACATATGTGGTTCAAGTCTTGTATGACCAAAAAAGACCATAGTTAAGTAAAGTTCGATAAATAAATACATATTGTTTCTATTTAAATGAAGCAGAGATAAACCATTTTTTTTATTCTAATAAAATAAACATATCAATGTTTGCATCTTAAAGCTACGTTCCTGATGTATTTCTAATACAAAATTATATTTATCTACCTTTTCTGTCCTGATGAATTTTTTCAATCATTGCATCAATTGTAATATAATTACTGGTACGATCAACATCAGCTCTAGAAAAATTTTTCTATTTTCTTTTTCTATTAGGTTCAATGGACAACAATTGGATATTGTTCAGGATTCGTTTGTTCATTAACTTCATGTATTAAATGAAATAATGCATGTGAATCATTTGGAATATTCATATCTTTCCATTATTGTATAATGATATTGAATAATAAAACGAGATTCATTTATTCAATTTAATGATAATGCAACATCATTTGTTAACGATGATGATGTTAAAATATTGGTTATCTTATATAAATAGAAAGAATAAGAGTTTTTTTTTTGAGGTTTATCATTATAGATAATAATGATGTTGCATAAAATTTTTATTATTTTACTCTTAATAGTTCTTTTTAATGGTAATATTCAAGGACAATTTCGTCGATTATCATATCCAAATGGAAAACATAGTATTGTTAAATCTAATGATGATCCTGGTGAACCTCTATTTCTTACACCTTATATTGAACAAGGTAAAATTGAAGAAGCAAGGCGGTTAAGGTAAAAAAAAAATCTTAGTTTTTTTTTGTTTATTTACTTCCATGCAATTGATTTATTTAGTTCGGTGGAATTACCACCTTTTAAACGTCAATCATTTTCTGGTTATTTAACTGTTAATAAAGAATTTAATTCTAATATGTTCTTCTGGTTTTTTCCTGCGCAAAATGATAATATCAATGCTCCTGTTCTTCTTTGGCTTCAGGGTGGACCAGGTGAAACATCACTCTATGGTTTATTTAATGAACATGGTCCCATTCAAATTAATACTGATGAAAGTTTATCTGAACGTTCTATTACATGGAATTCATTATATAATCTTTTATATATTGATAATCCAGTTGGTACTGGTTATAGTTTTACATCAAATGATCAAGGTTATGCTCGTTCAGAAGATGATGTTGCACGTGATCTTTATTCAGCATTAACACAATTTTTTCAAATATATACTGATTATGTATCAAATTCGTTTTATATTACTGGTGAAAGCTATGCCGGAAAATATGTGCCATCAATAGGATATAAAATTCATATTGAAAATCAAAATCCACAAGTTAAAGTTAAAATTAATTTAGTTGGACTTGCAATGGGAAATGGATGGATAGATCCTTATAGACAATATGTTTATGGACCATTACTTTATCAGGTATTTTTTTTTTACATAGAACAAATTGGTTTAGAGAAATTTTTCGGACAGAGATCTGTCTAATAAGATCTTTAATAAGCTTTTCTAATAGGAATTCGAAAATACTTAAGCTAATCAAAAGTAGTTGCGGAGTTATATCAATTTCTTATAGAATGCTTGAAGAAAATTTTCTTTTTTTATTAGGTGATAGAGAAAACAATGCTCTATTTTTCTGTGCTATTTGATCATTCTTCAACTAATATCATCAAAATAAAATAGAAGATAAGAATTGTTTTTATTTCAAACTCTACTAACGGATAAGACAGATTAAATGTTTCAACTACTTAATATGTTGCATTAAAAAACAAAATATAGCAGAAGATACAGCGTGAAAACCTCAATAATTTTCAAAGTAAAGTTTATTTTAATTGTGTACTTCTTGTTTTGAAAAAAAAGCAAAGTTCTGTGCGATCAATTTTCCCCGCCTCGAAAAATCATTTTTGTCTACACGAAGAGAAATTCCTTTTTTTTAAATTCATATATAAAATAAACTGTTCTTTAGAAATTGTAGAGCTTTACATGCTGCATCTTCTGCTATATTCTGTTTTTAATGCAACGTATTAAGTGATGGAAACATTTAATCTGCCTCACCCCCGTTAGTGGAGTTTGAAACAAAGAACAGTTCTTATCTTCTATTTTATTTTGATGATATTAGTTGAAGAGTGATCAAATAGCACAGAAAAATAAAGCATCGTTTTCGCTATCATCTAATAAAAAAAGAAAATTTCTTCAAGCATTCTATAAGAAATTGATATAATTCCGTAACTACCTTTGGTATACCCCAAGTAGCTTCAAAGATACAGAATATTATTCCTCTATTATTTCTATTCGATGACTAATATATCTTAGGTTGCCCATATCAAAGTTCCTCATTACAAGACTTTTGAATCCGGATAAAATCAGTCTAAAATTTTAGACCCGAGATAAATCGGATTCGACCCTACTCGATGATCTGTCGATGTCTAGATCTTTTATCAAAGAGAAAAGAATACTTGGAAAGAAAAGAAAAACATATCGTTCGATATTCAGAGAATATTCTATTAAATATTGATTGCTTTAGGATCGTAATTTGATAAATAAAATTTCTAACGCAATTTCTATTCAATCAAAATGTGAGACAGTATAAAGAAGAATTATTCTCGCATCTGTTAAAATAGTGTCCAAAAATGTTTGCATACATTTTATTTGGCATATTTCTCAGCATGGAAAACGTATAAAAATTTAAAATTAAAAAAAAAGTGCATTGTGATGATTTGTCCTATACTGAAAATGAACATTTACATATTGGTGCTACTTCCAACTATATGGAGCATAATAAAAAGTCTTTGGAAAACTTTTTTTGCTTTATAACACGGGTTTGTTCATACAGCTTTTTAAAAAAATTTTAATATTTTTATACATTTTCCATGCTGAGAAATATATCAAATAAAAGGTGTGCAAATATTTTAGGATATTCGGTACTATAGACTCCTTCTCTCAGTCTTTATCACAGGCACTCTTGTCTGTTACAGTTTATGATGAAGAAGAGGTAGGTCAGGTTCTGAGATATCTGTCATTACACACGATGACACATTATATAATATTCATTGGCAAAGCACAGTAGTTTATAAACACTGTTAAAAACTTCTCATTTATCATAAAATCAGTTTCATCATATTTTGCATTATAATTCCATAAGAATTGCATTAACAATTTTTTTAATCGAATAATTTCTTTTAATAAAACTTCTTTTTTGTTAATTCAAGATTGGTTTAATTGATAGTGAACAATTATTTTATGTTAATCTTCAATCAGATTTAGTTCGTTATGCTATTAGTCAAAAACGTTTTTCTGATGCATCTAAAATATCAGATTCTCTTTTTTATGGTGATTTAAATAATACATCTTATTTAACAAATGTAACAGGTTTAAGAGCCTATTATAACTATTTACAAACAGATGTTACTCCTAATATGAATAATTATATTAAATTTATAACTAATGTTGATCGTCGTCGACAAATTCACGTTGGAAATTTAACATTTCATGATGATGATCAAGTTGCAATAAATCTTGGAAATGATATTTTTCAAAGTATACCATCCCAACAATTAACAATATTATTTGATAATTATAAAATTCTTATTTATAATGGTTTATTAGATATAATTTGTGCAGAAAGTTTAACATTAAATTGGATTTCTGATTTACAATGGTCACATTCAAATGAATATAAGAATGCTATTCGTCAAATATGGAAAGTTAATTCAACAGATGATCAAATAGCTGGCTATATTAAAATAGTTAACAAATTTATGTTAGCTTCGATTCGAAATGCTGGACATAGAGTACCAATTGGTCAACCACGTGCTATGTTTGATTTATTAAAACGTTTTATTGAACTTACTTTTATTAATTGAAAATAATGTTTTTTCATAATTACATAAATTCTGTTTATCAATACAAGGTATTTTATATCAATCATAAGTTACTCAGATAGAATATAACGACACGTAAACTGTATGAAAACCATGAAAAACGGTGAGCGTTAGGATGACCATTTACAATGACGATTAATGTACCACTCGAAATGACTGACACTGTTTGCTGTTATTGAGTCTTAATTCGTCTATTAAACAAAACTTCTTGTTTACATATTACAAAATACATGAAAGCGTGTATATTATAGCATTTCTATTAGATATATTTAAGAGGTTGATATATTTATCGAAATCACAACAGTTGCTATTTGAATATCCGGAAATGAAAAAAACGGATACCGCAGTAACACCATGTCATATGTCTTCTATCATTTAAAACCGTCACGAATCATTTTGTGCGTAAGACGTGGACGAAATTCTGCACTGAAAAAGTGCTGTTTTTTGCTCTTAAAGTTGAAATATCTCAGAACTGATACGAAGAAATATGCTGAAACTTTTGATATTTACTAGTAGCAGTATACCCAATCTATCCTGAAAGCTTCGTGAAGGTTCCATATAAAATGTAAACTTATATAACTTCCTAGAAAAGGTTTCAATTCCTAATGCTGTAAAAGTATGTGAAAGGTCTCTATTAGATCTATCAAAATACATCATCGTTTGCTCATGATAGCTTCTTAACCAAATATTATAAAAGAGAAAAGTTTGTCCCAGAACTTTTATCCAGCACTGTAATTGCAACAAGATTCACTTATGCCATCAATCTCTACAATTAAAGAATAAGCAAGAAAAAGAGCTCTGTTTGAATATGCGAATCCACGTTCAACTTAGAGAAGAGTTTGTTAGTTTCTTGCTTCTGTGGAATTCATATATATTTTCGAAGAAAATAACGAATGTAAGTTTTAAATCAAATTATTGCAGAACTTAGCAACTGAGCTCGAAAGAAGGATGAGTGTGAATGGAAACTTTTTCTTCTATTGATATTTTTTGTTGTATTTGTCTGTAAAATAACGAATGATATGCAAAAGGCAAAAAATAATCAGTACAATCAGTTTATCTTTTCCTATAACTGAAGTAACAACAAGAACGAGCTTAAGGGGACTCCCTCCCTTTCCCGACTCAAAATTTTCACATTTTTCGTTTTGCATTTTTTGTGATTAGTATCTAGATTTAAATGCCCTCTATCCATTGAGCACACTTTCAGAACTGAAAACCCACATCTTATATATAAGAAACTCGAAAAAAATCACCAAATATGCTGGAAAAAACCAAAAAACACAAATTTCTTTGCGCTTTTCTCAAAATCAGTTTTTTCAGCAAAAATATAAAGTTTTCCCCCCTCGCACTCCAACCAATCGAGCTCAAATTTTTACTGTGAATACTTTAAACAAATTGGGTGTGGGTGTGGATATCGATGTGTTTCAACACCCAAACCCATATCTACACCCACACGCACTCTCACACCCACACGCCTATACACACCAACATTCACACATCTATACACACCCACACCCCACACCCACCCTTCATACCCCACCTACACCTAGATACCAACGCTCACATCATCCCACACACCTAGACTTACACTCACACTCACACTCCACACCTACACCCCACCTACACCGAGATACCGACGCTCACACCATCCCACACACCCAAACTCACACTCACACCCTCACTCTGATTACCGACAAACAACAATGAAGAACAGAACAATAGGGAGGCTTAATGGAAAAAACCTTCAAATTGTTTGCATATAGAGGTGTTAGCCGCCGATTTTTCGCCGCCGCTGAATAGAACGTCTCGGCGGGGACTTTTCTGCCGCCGCCGACCGAGTGAAAGGTCACAGTTCAAGCTTCTTCTTTTTCTAAATTATCACTTGTTGATAATCATCAGTAACATCTCAAGTTTGATCTATATGACAATCAGAGATTGCTGAAACCAATAGAACTTTTAAAAAAACAGGAATTAGTGTTTTTTTGGACTACATATGGTCTGAAAATTGAGCTGATAAGCAAATATGCCTCCTTGTGATTTTGTGACGCTACCATATTTATTAGGTTCTCATTTGCCTTGTTCCTTCATACACAATAGATTCATCGCTATTATTTTCTCCGTTTCGTGATTGTGGGCTTGTTTAGTATGCAGTGTCGACTAATTGTCTAGTTTGAGTTCGACTATAAATGAAACTAACATTGCGATTCGAATTCCAATCGACACTCTCCTGCCAGTTTAGGAAAAAAAGAAAAATATTTAGTGTGAATTTGGATTCGAATAATCAATAAAAACGAATCTTGCTCTTTTTCTCAACTCACAGAAAAGTATTGATTTGAATTTGAACTCAAATTCTAATTTCAATGTTAGTTTCACTTATGATCCAACTCGAGCTATCATAGGAATGGCACATTATCTTTATTTTACTTTGAAAAAGTAAAGTAAAATACTATAGTTTGAATGTGGAAAATAAAGTGAGATAAAGCTAACTAAATAATATTTTTCATGTATTCATAAAGAATCGACATTTTTCGGCTTTACTTATTTCTTTCAGACTAATTTTAAGACGAAACGATATTGAATATACTTTGATACGTTCTAAGATTATGTATACATGATCTTGAACTAAGAATTTGCCAAAAAATTTAAAACATACAACTTCATTTTGTTCACTTTACTTTATTTTACTTTTTGGGTAAAGTATATTTACTTTACTTTACTTTTTGGGTAAAGTATATTCACTTTACTTTATCCGGTAACGTAAAGTTCTAATACATTAGTTTATTTGGCAAAAGTAAAGATAAAGTGCCAGCTCTAAGCTATCATGTTTGAATTTAATTTGTATTTTAGATAGATAGTCATATTATTGCCATTTTGGCTTATATCATGAGTTATTGTTGTGTGGTTTGAAGTTATTTTATGACGGAACAGTGTGAATTTTTTGAATTAATAGAAATAAAGTTACATCTAGTGGAAAAATTTTTGCATAAAAAGACATGAGCGTGTTAAGAGAAAAACAGCGTTATAATTCTGTGAGAACAGAACGTCTAATGTTTGTCTTAACGGTAGCGACTTACGAAAGACTCTGTAAAATAACATAGAAAAAATTTCGTCGTCGCCGCCGAAAACGACCTCCTCGGCGAGAGCTCCCCGTCGCCGCCGTCGATGCCTTAAAACTTTTTCGCCGCCGCCGCCGATCAAATGATCGGCTACCACCTCTATTTGCATATATAGACAAAAAATGAGTAAAAAAAAGAGGAAGGAAGAACAGAAACAATATGTCGATGATTTTTCCTATAAAAGTAGAGACAATTGTGCAATTACGACATTATTCGAAGAAAAGGTTGAACAGAGTGCTTATTGCAACTCGCAGGCCTGATAACGTCGTACACAATGGTAGATATAAAAACCAATGACATGTCTCGGGCAATGACGCAAGATGCCATTTATACTACGAAACAAGCGTTTTCAAAATACCAAATTCAACAGAACATTGCTACATACATACGGGATCAATTCAACTTAACTTACGGCCCAACATGGCACTGTATTGTGGGGGCAAACTATGGTGCACAGACCACGCATGACGTTGGTTGCCACATTTGTTTTACTTATTCAGGACAGACAATCCTTCTATTCAAAAGTGGATGAGAAAACATTGATTGTGCCGCCAATACTGCAGCCCGCACCTGCGAAATGATGCTTTGTTTTGTACTTTTTTTCAAGGTTTTCTATCAAAAGCTCCCTTTTATTTATTCAAGATGCTACACGTGATGTTTTCATTTGCTATGCTTTTTTTTTAAACGCAAACGGCTGCATTTATATTCCTGAAAAAAGAAGGCATGTATCTAACGATTCGCACGCATGAAAATCTCAAAAACATCATACTATGATTGTCCACATTTACTAATTCATCGTCAATTCACCTAAATATTGACTTTGTGTTGTTTTTCTAGGAAGGATGTTGGTGTGGGTGTGGATGTGGGTGTGAGTGTGGGTGTGGGTGTGAGTGTGAGTGTGAGTGTGGGTGTGTGTTGGTGTGGGTGTGGGTGCGTGTGGGTGGGTGTGGGTAGGGGTGTGGGTGTGGGTGTGATGAAAAGAATTACACCCACATCCACACCCACACCCACACTCTCCACACCCACACCCACATCCTCAACTATCTTTTTTTAAAATACAGGTAAATGTACCAAATTTTATTGATACAAACAAACTTCAAAAGTACTGTTCAAATATGTGAAATTTAACCCAAATACAAAAATTGAATTTCTTTCTCTATTTCCAAAAAGACTTATAGATGGTATCTGTTCTTAATTGCTTGAATTTTGACGTGATACCATTCAATTCGTTTTTGTGCAAACGTATCAAAATACAAGTCTATGTAAAGGCTTTTCAACGATCAGACTATTCAAAAATCCTCATTGCTCAATAACTCATAGGGATTCAAAAAGAAATATTGCATTACGTTTTTTTTTAAGTTTCAAGAAAGATGTTATTTTTGCATTTCGATTAAGGTTCACATCTTTGAACAGTCATTCTGATGTTTTTTCATATCGGTAAAAACTCATTGTATTTACCTATCATTTGAAAAAAAAACATAGTTAATCAAGTCAGATCAAATTGCAAATATATACGAAAAATTTAAGCGGAAGGGACTTTTGGGATGCTCGATGGTTTTACCCTTAACTCTTATATCTGGTCTTAACCGCATAATTTCATTCGTAATTCGTTAATTCTAATTGTAATCACTGAATTCTATTTGTAATCGCTTAATTCTACTTTTAATTCTTTATTTCTATCCTCACCCATTAGTTATATGTCTTACTTCTTTTTCTTTTTCTAATATATATTTCGATATTTAAATCGTATATCTATATCTAAACTTCAATATTAAACTAATTTGAGCGCGATGAACACCAAGTGAGATGAAAAAGAAGATATTTTCAAAGTTTAAATTTGTCTACTGAAGAAATATTCTATCTAATGAAAAGAGTGAGCAAACTTTTAGCTTAATTTGCTCAAACAATCAATGTCGTAAAAGTGGTAGCGAAGACATCATCATAGAGATTTATGAAATTCAAATAGAGATAGCTATCAGTCGTCAGAATCTCTGTTTTTGCTGAGACAATGTAGGCATCTCAAAATTTTAGTGAACAAATTCTATTGGCAATATAACCGATGTTTTTCATATTGCTCTCAAATGTAGCTGCGTCTGGCAAAATATAAAATGCCAATCCACTAATGAAGTATGCGAACGTAATAGCAAGATGAATGGTACACTGAAAAAAAAAAGTGCCAAACGAAATCCTTGAGGTTTCGTGGGACTTTACTATACTATATAAGTATCCGTGGAGTTATACGAACCCTTTATGAGGTTTGGTATAATCCAAGGTTTTGTAACAGACTTTAAAGAGTTTCGTCATCATCACTTTCGATTTTGGAACTCATAAGAGGTTTAGTGATAAACTCTTTTGTGTTTCGTATTCAAGAAGGTTTCGTTATGTACCTAGTGAAGATAACATCTTTATGACACATCGTAAACGAGCAACCTCTCTTGACGTTGTACACTGCACAACAAGACGACTAATCATATACTTAAGCGATAATTGCGTAGTTTTACTCCTTTTTCACCGAGTCTCATCAGCAAACGTCTCAACTGAACCTGATAAAGTTTTTTTTTCATCTACCACTCATTATCTTCTTTAACCAGATTCGTGTGGTTCTGATATCGAACTTGCAGATTATTCAAAAGTCGAATTATTTACTGTTGTCTTCCCAAGAAGGTTCTCTTTTTTATAAAAATAATTACTTACAACGTTTTATTTTCTGCTAAAACTATTATTTCGTCTTACGCTTCACCAACTATTTGAAACTTGATCTTCAGTTGTAGTATTTCTATATTTTGACTACTGTAACTAAAGATGTTGATGAATTTAAAGCGACAGCTCTTCCATATAAGTGTTTCCTTACTTTCTTTTTATGTTACATTTATTTTTCTATTTAGTACTGGTTGAATTTTTCTGAAATTTAGCTTAACTGTACTTATTCATCATATTAAACTTTCATTATTGTCTTTCCTATTTTTTTTCTTTAAACAACACACATTGCTAAAATTACATGAACAATCATTTCATGTAAGAGTTTTGTTAATTTTTTTTAATATTACATATATTTTTTTTAAATTTAAGATGGATATAATTGTTATTTTTGTTACTATGTAGTATAGGATCTATTTATCGAGTATCTGAAACAATGATTCAATAATTATATAACATTTTGTAAACATTCTATATAGAAACAGGATTTTTCCAGTTCATAATATTATTTATATGATGCCTCAATAAAGAAAAAAACATAATCAAATATCCATTGGTTCGAATAGATCATTAATTGTTGAAGTTATTATACAACGATTCAAAGTCTTTTTTCTAACTGAATATTTTGAAAGTTTTTATTTCTATTGTAATTTGATCGTACAATAAATATGTATATCGTCTGTCATACTATTGTGCTTGTCAACTTACAAATATCAATATAAATTATTTTTCTGCCTGATTTTTGAAAATAAGATTCTACGTTTGAATGTGAAGTTCGGATGTAGGTGAAGATATGAAAAAAATCAAAATAAATCCATACCATTTGCAACAGTAAACAAAACGACGTAAAGCCACTATTTTTTGACCATATATTAAGAGAAGCCAAATAATTGGTTAAAGAGTGTGAATGTGGATAAGAGTATGTACCTGGTTTCGATTCATTCAAGATATAGAGCTGACGCATATAGAATGAAACAGAGCGAAGATAATCAAATTTTTATCGGTATAGCTACTGATGGACCACGTTGTATATCAGAGAAAGAGAACAGAAATTTTTTCGGAAATCAACTTACAATCATTTTATTGTATAAAAATTTCAACAATCAAGAGGAAGATAACGACAAACAAAGACGCTTCAGGAAAAAAAAGGACTACTGGAGGTTTATTGAAATGCAGCGAAGTAGTTGAGAAATCTATTTGCTCATGCAAAACATCTATCAAATACAGAACATAATAAACGTATCGTTGGAATAGATGCTGAGCGTAAAGTGTTGAAATAAGGAGTTGATGAACGAGACGAATTTTTTCATGAAGTAATCTGGAAGCGTAGAGTAATGTAGTATTGTCTAAAGAGAAATATAACTACAGTTAATAGATTAGGATTTACTCAATTATTAAATTATTGGCATTTTGATATGAATGGATCTACAACGAGATAATGAAAAGTAAAATATAGAAACGTATTCATTTTACTTACTCTTCATCATTGTTTTCATGATTACTTCGTTTCATTTCGATCTTTCTTTTGACTTTTGAATGTTTTAGCCCAATAGTGACTAACAATTGCTCTCTCACGCTTCATATCATCAGTAACTATTCCGAGAAGAAAAAAACAAACATTTGAAACATTGTTTTTATAGTAACTTAATGAATTTTACTTTCCAATTCTGATTGAGAATCAATATCAGTATCAGCATCTATTCTTATGCTCGGTACTGTGTCATGAGTCGAAACTGCAATGAAATTAAATATTGACTGAGAGACAAGAATAACAAGAGTTGAATCAATGGAGAATTCAATTTTTTCGTGAACATTGAAATTCATCTACTTGAATACTTAGAAAATCTACTAATATTAGCGGTGTTCGCGGTCTTGTGTTTGATTGCTTCCTCAAAATAAATCAACTTTCTAAGATACATTATGCAGTGCAAAGCCTACTGAAAATTAGGAGAAATCCAGTAAAAATTTTTCTTTCAAAAATTCATCTCGAAACGGTCAGATAGTTTGAAGAACTTGTAGAAGTTACTTGGGAATGTAAAGATTATTTTGCTGTGCAATAGAGCACAATAGAGAAGAATTACTTGAACTTGCTAGGAAAGTTCAATTACTATTTTTTTTGAGAAGATCGCGAAGACTGCTTCTGATGGATTTCTTAGACATTTATTTTTTGTTTCTGATGTTTTGGAAATTCATATTTCCCACAATAAGTAAGACTTGGTACCTTTCATATGTCGCTTTCTATAAGATGATATTCGTAGGTAAGTACATCGGACGACCATTACAATATAGTAAAAAATGTTGAATGGAGGTGGTAATAGAGATCGTCTTTTATATTCATCAACAAGTAAAAAACGTTGGTAGCGCCATAAAACGTATGATTGTTGGGTAACATTTTGAATAGTCACACTATAAATAAGAGATATCGACGAGTACATCGTGAGAGAAAAAAAAATCACTTTCATACTTGAACAAAGCTACTAGCAAACTAAGTAGAAGAACATTAGCAATTGTAACAAAGATAATGGCTAGAACGAAGGCTACATTAGAATAAGCATTGGTATCAGCTAAAAGACGAGAGAAACTAATATAAATGCATGCAAATCACTAGAATCTTACTGATTGGATCTACTTGTCCAAATATTTTCCAAACACCATAATTGATTACATCTCGCAGTGTTTGCCACGATTTTAGATTATTATCAGCACTGCTTGTAGTCACATAAGCTAGTTGTCCATCTCCAGTATAGGTCCAGTTCACTTGTGATGTAGTATTGATAAGTGACCAGGATGTGATAGAAAAGCCGAGTAGAAAGATGACAATGAAACATACAAAGAACAATAAATCTTTTATCTACAAACAAACATGAATATATGTGCAGTTAACAATGGGAAAAAAATATCAACCGTTTTGAAAATCATTTCCAATTTCGGACCGAGTCGTTCGTAAGCAGCGAATAGATGAAGAATTCGAATATACCAAACGATTAGGTCAAGACCCATGAAAATTCTGAGATAAATAAAAAACATCAAATCTTGAGGGTCGTTCTCTTTCAGTAACAATCATAAATTACTTTGAAACAGTAAATACTGCTTCAGAAACTATGAATCGTGTAATGAAACCGATAATATAAAGGCCAATTGCTATAATAGCAAGTATATTCCACAGATCGGTAATAAAATTGCCTTTGAGCGTCTTATGAACTACCTAAGACAGAAATGATACATGTGGAATATATGAATAAGAAATTATATGATTCATTTCTCACTTGATATGTTTCTTCACAAATCACACTCCATAAACATATATGAAGCATGATTTCTGGAATAGGCACCAGTAAATTATAATAGCCTGATCGAGTTTCATGATAAATATTCAGCGGAAAGTAGTCAACAAGATAAACATAACTGAATAGGCCAAGAAATAGTATGAAAAATATCTTAAATAGACAAATGAAAATTTCTTTTTTTTTGATATCCTAGTCATTTTATTCAATACAATTTACGTACTACATTGTAATAAAATCGAACTATGGGCGCGGCATAAAAGTAGCCTATCTTTTGATACCATTGAACACTGCGAGGTTGAAATGGTTGATTAGGCCTTGACTTATTAAAGAGAAATTAACACAAATATGTTCGATATTCGACATTCTTACAATTCTGTTGAGACGGTGTTAGCATCAAAATTTGTGCTTAACGAAGGCTGTACAGTTGTAGAAGACTGGAAAGATGAAAAAACAATAAGAATATCAGAATTGATAACATGAATTCTGATGTGAAATACCGTGTTAGATCTTCTCACGTAGGGTAAGAAGACAGAACCAAATGGAAGAAGTGGAATAAATAGTGTACAGAGGAAAACCTAAATAATAGAACTTCTTTACATTTTCCATAGAGAAAAGTACATTGAAATATTTACTCGAATGTCGATCCACGTGAGGTGATAATTGATATGACCAAACCTGTACATATAGTCTTATATTGAGATTTCGATATAGAAGAGTCTCAAAACACATAAATGATGTTCATTATGAAGATTGTGACAAAGAAAGGACTCCAAAATTCATGGAAAGTTTTCTTTAGCAGAATAGTTTTTCTATATTAAATATAGAAGATCTTACCATAAATTATTCAGATATCTTTGAACACATGGTGATGCTATAAATTTTCGACAATTAGCCTCGCGTGCACGTTTCAATGGATGAGCATTGTAAAAAGTTGCAATCGGACCCCTGAGAAGTTTAATTGCAAATATTTTGTTATTGTCAAAACAATGATCAATAATTGATCTTGCATAACCATCAAAAGTCCTACAAGAAATACCAATGTAAACTATTGTTCGATTGCGGTGAAATTCACAAATCTTACTCGGCTGTCACATGGTATTTTTCTTTTAGTTCCGAATTTAGTGTGCTGCTTCTAGCTCTTTGATAGATCCAGGCAGCAATCAATGGAGCTACCAATGGATTCTAAAACCGATGAATGATACAAGAATTGGCGACGATTTGCCTCCATTAACATGGACACGTTTCCAGGTGTTCATTGACTTTTGAGTCGAGACTATATGCATCATGTGGAGTCCCATGAGCTATTCATATTCTGAAAAGATTCATCCTCCGTTGCTGAATTTGGAATTTTGGCTTAAAACTTTGCACGGATAAAGGTCAAAATGAGAATAGTTTATGGTGACAGTTTCAGTCTTTTTTTCGTTGTTCCTATCCTGAGATATGATGCATTGTTCGTATACACGGATCAATCTTTCAATATTTATATTTCAGGATAGGAACAACAAAAAAAAGGCTGAAACTTTCATCATAAACTATTGTCATTTTGACCTTTACCCGTGCAAAGTTTTAAGCCAAAATCCCAAACTCAAATTTTTCGTGACCTGAGATGGTCCACAGGCTTTTGCTAAAAAATACAGTAAAAGTCCTATATTTCCACATCACAAAGCTACAAGGGATGAACTTTTTAAGGATATGAATAACTCATTGGGCTTCAAATCAGAGGCACAGTCTTGACTCAAAAGCGAATGAAAACCTGTGAACGTTCCTTTGTGTAAGCCTCACCCATGTTTTTGAACAAAAATACGTAGCAAGATCGACTCGATCAAGAAAGATGGCCCAAATAAAGAGATCACGTAAACCATATTCTCCTAATAAAAGATTCTTGGTGCTCTGATCTTTGTCAAGCTGCATTCAGAAATTGAAAGTAAATAGATATAAAAAAGAAATTCTTCATTAGATAACTGACTTTCGGTTCTTCGAGTAAATAGGCCTTGTAGAAATCTTTCCTTGTTGCTATTGTTCGTCTCTTTTTCTTTCCACATGGTAAACTTGATCCAATCTATAAAAAATATTCAAATGAGGGTACAGCAAATTCAACTAAGTTTAAATGCTTACAGATGCTGACACATAGAGTCGTTCGAGATCATCAACGGTTAACTTCGCTGGAGATGCGCCCAATTCGATGAGTAATTCAACAAAATCAACATGACCTCGTCGAAGAGCATCAACGAGAGCACGTTGAAGATCTTCTTTCTATTATCAATAGAAATGATCAATTGAAAAAAAAAATTGTATTGACAATAAAGAAACTGACTTTCCACTTTGAAATGATCGTATCTGTTAGAATTTTCTTTTTAGCATAGTCAAATTTGTTCCAAGCCTAATTGAAAACAAAGACTTGAATCATCAATAGATTGTAGAAGAATTTACCATCGCTAATTTGAGTTCGACTGTTTGACTGTAATTGTTATTTCTATTAGTTAATACTTTAGCAGCTATTCAAGAAGATATACAAGAATACAAAGTCAATGAACAGCGAGTAGAAGTATCTTACCATTGAGTACAGCTTCGAGAATTGCATCGTCAAGATTACCGTTATACTGTTCACTGTTGAAATTGAAAATGGTCACGAATTCTTTATGTGTGCGTATTGTCTCATATAAGTCATTTAGTTCATTTAATGAAATCGGATGTTTAATGTCTGAGATCCAGCTATGATTCTTTTGAACTTCTATCGATCTAAACATAAAGATTCCTACGTAATTTACCCATTGTTTTGTAATACATTGACACATAAGTTTTGTGAGGTTTTTTTGTGCTGTAAGCAAGTTTGAGACTTTATATCTCGTGATTGGAAAGTGATAGAGGTCTGAAATTTTTAGTGTAGATAGAAGTCATAGAGATTTATCCACATTGAAAATTTTGGACCTCTATCACTTTCCAATCACGAGATATAAACTCTCAAACTTGCTTACAGCACAAAAAAATCTCTCAGAACTTATGTGTCAATGTAATAGAATAATACAGACATGTCATCCGATGGTTGGTGTTGTGCATGATCATTGGTATTCGAAAAGTATTCGTACACATAGGCAACGAAATCAGCGGCACGACCAGATTCCTACGAAAGTTTTGTATGAAATTATATCTGATTACTTTTCTTTAAAAAATCTTCAATATGCATACTTTGACAACAACAATCGGAGTGTTTTCTTTCAGTGCCTTGGAAACAGTATTGAGTGAAGAAGCACCACCTTCTAGAAGAACCATGACGATCGGTATGAGTGTATCCCATATCGGTTCTATAGGTGGCAACTGCATTGTATTCATATGAGTTGATTGCGTCGTAATAAGGTCTTGCGATGTAATACCATTTTCTGTCCTGAATCCATATGCTACTTGATGTACATGGGATCGCTGTGCTAAACTTGGATCTCTTGATAGCATTTCAATGCGGGCTCGTAATCCTAAAACACTACTGGGATTATCTTTTCCATCATCAAACAACAGGAAATGTGTATGATTTGGTTCCAAATGACATTTTCCTTTCGGTGACTTTCTCACTATGTATGATTGAATACGTGTGGAATTTGCGGGATTCTAAATATTTTTAGAGTGCGATATATATGATGAGCATCATTTTAATTGAATCTATTTCTGAATGAAATCTAACCGTTATTTCAAGTTGACTATTGTCCGCTATATAATTCCAACTGGCGATGCCAATACAAGGAATATCTAGACCTTGTTTATTGCCTATGTATCGATAATTATTCAGAGCTTCGCCTACTTCTTGAACCACACCTGCATTTGTTCCAGTTGTAATTATCCATGCATCTGAAAAAAGCAATTACATTCCTAATAATATTCACAGAATAACGTGTCACATTTTACTTGTGGTAGCAGCAGCATCGACTAGACCCATTTGAAAGATATTCCGGAGACGTGGTGACATGTCAAAATGCTTTGCACCACCCGTTACCGAAATGATCAAGTCCGGTGTAGGTAAACACCAGCCCTGATGCATGAATTGAACGACTTTTTCAGCATCGGTTGTCAGAGCCAAACGAATATATTGAGACAGTCGAGATGTTGAATCTACTTTGGACTTGTTAAATGCTATGTAACCATATTGATTGGTCAATTGTCTGTTAATCAAAATAATGAAACATAGAAATTATGAATAAATAAATGTAAACCGCCAATACGAACAATAAATCTATTACATTAATCGATTTTTCTATAGAGAAAATCAAATAGAATCATTGATATTCCTTCAGATTTTCTTCGAATATCAGTTCTCTTTCTCAATATGGACAATTAAACTATTCGACCATGGACTGAATGTTGGTACGATGTTACTTATCGATTAAAAAAAAGGATGATTTTCTGTTTGTAAAATCTTTGGAAACCCCTGAGAATCTCTCAAAGAATGACTCATCAATGTGATTCAACTGATTTTCTATAAGACTTTGATGTATTTATTTTTAGAGGTTTTTAGTAGTCTCCGAAAATTATCGTCAGTAATTCCCGAAGATTCCTTGAAGTTCATAAAGATTCACAATGATTCTCGAGGATTTCAAGAGACCCCGTCTTAATCTCAGATTTAATGTAGAAATCTTAAGAAATCTATAGAGTTTCAAATGCATTCGTTTGTTTTTCTTTCTTACCGATCATTATTCGATTGATGAATTTTCAAATCATCAATGGTCTAAAATGAAGCAACAATGAATTGATATATTGAAGTCAACTCATTCAGAATACCTTCTGTATTTCAGGCAGGTGCTTAATATTATCCACAGCCATTGTTATTTCTCTAAATGCATTCGATTGGTATTCGACGGTCTCTACGTTTTCTCTCTTTGAGTTGTCGCTTTAAGTCTGTCCGATCACTATTTAAAAAAACGTTGACGACAAACAGAACATATTTAAAGCACATCAATAGAGTTTCAGCATGCACAAATAATAATAAAAAATCTGTCTCTCTCTCTTTTTCTTCTTCTCGCGCAACCGAAATGAGTTGCCGAGAGGAAAGCAAAAGTAGTAAATAGAAGAAACCTGCTACCTTCCATTTACCTGGGCATGTCATGCCATGTGCTTCGCTCATTATTCCATGTTAGCATTTAAAAAGAACGACTACCTGTTGCTATGAGGCGTTCTGCGTCTTGTGTTGTTCATCGAGACAATGCATTATATAGAAACTCTTACGATAGAATTCGCGTTCTTCCAATCACGATTCAAACATTAGCTCTCATATTTCCAAGGAGAAATCAAGGAGTTCCAGCCAAGTCACAGATGGTATTTTCTGAAACTATGTCCACATAGAACCAAAAAAGGTTCTAATTTTCTATCTTACGCGAGGGAGAGTGTGAGTGTCACAGTGTCGCTGTGGATGCGAAGATGAGGAAAAGACACCCGCACACCCAGACCCGGATACACTCACATCACACACACCAACATGTATCGAGACAAAGCCAAACGAAGTTACATGATTTATCGGTTAGTGTATTAGAGTGGTCAGGGTGTGGGGGAGGATGGTGCGTGAGTGAAGACGTCAGTCTATAGAGGGTGAGTCTTCCATTCATTCTCACTCTCACCTTCAACTGATTCGAATTTCTAATTGTCATCAATCAAAGCGGTGAGATGCACTAGGATAATGAGGATAAGTAGAGTGGGTGAGAGTGATGTTCTTCTGTTCACCTTCACCTACCCTCCCAATTAGGTCACTATACGAGATTATAGATCAAAAATGAAAAAAAAACAGAGTCACCTTGCAAATGGTCTCGAATCTTCTGAATTCGGTCAAAAATCAATGAATTTTGCACAAAAACATGAGTTGTGATGGGTTCTATCGATTGACATATAAACTGACGTATTTGACTATGAAAATGTAAATGGACCGATTTATGGTCTTATGCATCCCTGTCGTTTATTGTTTACTCTAGTTGAAATCATGGCGGTACTCCATTGAAATAAAATTATTTCCATTCTGTATGGAGAAGAATGTTTGTGTTCACATTTTAAAATCAATTATTTTATAGGTCCTCTGCTATCGTACGTATACGCAAACATGACCATTTAATTCATGGAATTAGTCATAAATGATTCTAAATATATAGCTAATGTCCCTTCTTCGAAAAATATATGTAAGGATAAAGCTATAAAATTTGAGATTTTTGATAGATACTCGTTATACTGCCATTGCACTCTGGGAATATGTCGTTTTCTTCTTGTTAATTGCAATCATCTTGAAGTATTCAAGCAAGCATCTGATCTCTGCAAAAACATCAATTACTAATTTCTATGCACGTTTGTTGTGCAGGCACTGTGAATAGTTCTTTTCTCCGACATCAATGTACTTTTTACGAACATGATTGTGAAATCTGTTTCTTTTTCTGTGCAAACAAGAGAGAAAAAGAAAGAGAATAAATGTTTTTATAAAGAGAAGGAGAAATAGATTAATTCAAATGTTTATTTTTCTTGTGAGCATGATTTGGCGAGTAATATATATATTTTTTTATTATAGACGTCAAGCATTTGAAAATGAAACTAAGGTAAGCGTCGCAACTTTATACGATATATTGATTTTGTATTTTATCGTTCCGTCAATGACCAGATCAAAGCTTGTTATGACTCAAAGTTCTGTTTTTAGAATTTATCTACTATAGGTAAGCTATATAATACATGTTTAAACTAATCTCAGCCTTCTTAGAACTTTCAATTGACATAGAAAGAATCTTTAACAAATTAATTTTAGCATCGAGTTGCAATGAAAGCATCAAATATATTCACCACCAATGATTTTCGCACTGGAATAGATTTTGATAGCCTGGACAATATGCAACGACCACCGCGCAGATTTGTACCAATACGATTAAGTTCGTATGATCAAGAATATCCACATCAGGAAATAGAAAATGGTGATAGATACCAAACTTCTAAATCGTGAGTGTTTTAATTTTCTTCTTCTACCTATGGAAACATTTTTGCGAATGAAGCTACGGTATTTGATGTGGTTCTTTTTCATCCAGTAATACATATTACCGTATATTCAATCTAAAGAACATTTTGTGGATGTCTTCTGAGTACAGTGATATTTTGAATTGTAGCTTTAACAATACAAATCTCCATCAATGAAATATGAAGAAACTTCTGAGAAAAGTCTGGATGAGGTCAACTGGTTGAAGTCAGATATCTTGACTTATGATCGCCAAAATGAGGTTTTGACTAATCTGAATGAATTATGAGAATTAATTCGTTTATTAGGCTTTTATCGACTGTTCAAAGTGCAGCACAGAAAAATACAGTGTTGATCAATTTAACTGTACTGCAAAATTCCAGATCGTATATTAGGTTAAAACACAGTGGTTAAACCGTGATTTTCCTGACATAGTTTCATATAGTCCATAAAATCTAGCAGATAGTCTAATTGTTGCACAGCTCAGTTAAACTGGTCAACGTTAGCATTTTCTTGACAAAATTTTGTCTTCGATAGGTAGATAATGCTAGAATTTGGGATTGAACTTGATTACATCCTAATCCTTACAAGAACTTTTCTTTTTTATTTTAAAATTTTAGTGAGCGTTCAAATTGCTGTTCGAAACAATGTCTCATTGGACTTTGTGTTGGTTTGGCAATCGGTGTTGCGCTTGTGATAATTATCGCAGTCCCAGTTGGTGTTGTTGGTTTTACCAGAAAATCAACATCCTCACTGGGTAAGTCCAAAAACGATAAAACACCATTACAAAATTGCACTATAAAATACTTTTATCAACTAGCAATAAGTATCTAGTTGTTTGCCAAGGAAACGATATAACTAGATTTCTGCATATGTCTGTAAAAGAAATGTTGATATTTTATGCAGTCAATTGACAAAGTTGTACTTTGCTTTTTTCAAATCATTGTTTATTGTATGTACCACAATATAGTTGATAGACATGCCGAGTAATATTCACTCTCGGCATTCTGAGCGAGCTATCTCACTCGCCAAGAAGAAGCACAATCTGTTCAATGACGACTTTTGTTATTGTTGAAAAATCTCTTTCTTATGACACTTCTCGTGACAATGTAGAAGCAAGTCAAAAGGATTGTGATATGATGTATAGAATATCATTGAAATAATACAAGAGCTTGTCACGCTTATAATATTAATTTATCTAGTGCGTACTTTGATAATAACTAGAATAAATCAATTTTACTGAGGAAGTCTCTGTAAATAGCTATACACATGTCAAAGAAGAGTAAAACTATACTTTTGTTTTTCCCTTCATTGAATACTCTTGATTTTTTTTTCTACATTTTTATAACAGGTACAATTTCTTCTACACCCAATTGGATCGGCACATTTCTAATGGATAATGCATGTGATACAAGTTCATGTTGTTGTTTAACCAATCAAGTTACATTGTCTCAAGTAACCAATAATCAACTACAAATTACAGGCAGTATTACTGGGCTATGTACTATCTTTTCATCTCCTATTACTCTGATACAATCAATGCCAACAGGTTTTCAAGTATTCCTTACTTGGTCTGGAGAAACAATTCGTCTGCAATTAGGTCAAGATAACTCTTACATATCACTTGTGAATATCAAGCATGGAATATGTAGTACTACTGGATTAAGAACATCATATAGTAGTGGTAGTATGAAAAGCGTGAATTTGGGTTTAGTTATGTTCATTCTATCGATCATTATTGGCACAATGATATAATGTGAATAAATTCATTCTTCCAGACTTCCACATTGCGGCTATTTTTCCTATCTTACTCATAACACTGATTCAAGTTTTTTCCAATAAAGTATTTTTTGTTTTTGTTCTTCGTGTAGACGTACACACGATTTTCTAACATACAATTGTTCACGAATGTTGTAATTCAACTTTTTTGAGATTTTTAAGTCTAGTATGATGAGTTTAAGTCACACGATCAGTGGAAAAAGGAACTTGGTTACTGCTGTGCAAAAAACTGGCGAGTCACTCTTTAAGAAGTTATATATGTGAGAATGAGAGTGAAAGTGGATGATGATTTCTTTTCCACCCTCACTCACCCATCCTAGCTTATTTCCACGGGAATTGTGCTTCGATTATTCCGAAAAGAAAATTCAAGTCACACATTCGTTCGTACAATATGAATACTTCCATTGTTACGTGCACTTTTTTCACTTCATTCTCAAAATTTTTTTTTTATTTACGATTGAAAGTCATCATATTGAGAGAGCGAAAAAACTTTCTACACATTGTTCGTCATCCATATCTGAGAAACTTTTTTTTCTTTTGAGTAAGTTTCATGAAATAAAATCATATTACCATGCCACAGTATTGTATATTTGATCTGTTACCAGTGGAATTATTGTATGCTGTATTGACTTATTTTTCGGCACATGAAATTCTCTCAGTTTTTCTCACGTTAGTGGTCATGTCAATACGGTTTCGCTCAAATATTCTGCTTACTAACTAAACTTCAAGCTATTTCTCTCATACTCTCTGATACTAATAATACACTTGGTAAATCTGAACTTTTCTTTCCACGTTTTCGAATCAAACGATTCACTCACCTACGATCTCTTACGCTGATTCAGATTGAATACGATTCATTCAAATCTATCTTTCCATAAAGAGTGGGCGCTAAGTTTTGATCTGCTCGATGAACATAATTTTTCTTCACTTATTCTCAACGTGAAAAGCTGATATTTGTAGCACATATACTAGGCGAGCTCAGCTATCATAGATAAGAATTTGAGCTTTTCGATTCTGGTTGTCACGAAAGTATAAGCATCCTAAAATTTCGTAGAAGGTTTTGAATGATTCTATGATATGTGTGGTAATGTCTCAAATATTACTATCTTGGGTGTGGGTAAGGAGTGTTGATCTGTCGGCAGAATCCTGAAATCAACACATCCAATAAAAGAGACCCACACCGACACCCATACCCTTACCCTACACCCACACCCACACCGACACCCATACCCTTACCCTACACCCACACCCACACTCACACCCACACCGACACCCATATCCTTACCCTCATCCTACACCCACACCCACACCCACCCACACCCATCCACACCCATACACTCACACCCACACCCACATCCACACTCACACCCACACCGACACCCATACCCTTACCCTCACCCTACGTCCACGTCCACGCCCACACCCACACCGACACCCATACCCTTACCCTCGCCCTACACCTACACCCACACCCATACACCCACCCACACCCATACACTCATACCCACACGCACACCCACACCCACACCCATACACTCATACCCACACCCGCACCCTCCATCCACTAGACAATCAGAACCCAGTCGACGTCAAACGACTTTGACTAGTCTGAAACGTCTTTAATAGTAGTCAGGACTAGTTCGATACGTCGTCTGCACTCGTCATGACTAGCCCTTTTGTAAAGAGTATGTCGCTCATCCTAGCCCAGAGTAGTCTAAAAAACTGTGAACAACTCACTTTCTTTGGACTAAATATCTCCTATTAATTCGTTTGAACTGATCTATAATGGAAAGTAAAAGAAGTAGAATGCAAGTAGAAAAACTTTTCAACATCTGTATCATTTGTTAAAAATAATCGATGAATAATCAAATGCATTTAGAACATGGATTAGATAGTAGAATAACCGTCATTTTATTGGCTGTCTTGTACTCGAATCTTCGTAGATTGAGGATTAAGATTGATCTGTTACATTATGATTATGGGAATTAATAATATGCATTTATTTTATATTAAATTATGTCGATCGTCACAGATGTTATTATTTTTTTTCAAACTAGAACGAGAATCAAAGAGTCTGCCATAATCAATAGTGAGAGAAAAAATAGATACTATACTTTGTGCATTCCTGTCTTCGTGTACCTTATTATATGTTGTATTTCCGTATGGCGAAAATGTAAGAGTATATCGAAACTTAAAAAAGTAGAAGTACAAAAAAACAATATTTATATCGTAACGAGAAATGTTAATTTATATACTTCAAAACTATTAGATGTACTAAATTTTACAAAAAAAACTTAAAAATAATTTAAATGTTATTTTATGATTATTTTATGTTATTTTATTTTAAATATAAATTTTCGAATAATTTTACATTTAATCAAAATAATATATCTTTATAAATTCGATCATTACTACTGAGTCATTAATAGAATTAATGATAAAAAATACAGATCAGACCAAAAAATTCTGATTTTCCTCTATAGGTCAACGGAAATCCATAGAACACACACCCTCTTTATTACATGCTTTTTTGAATAGAGAAATAAATATGAAAATATAGGATGCGGGTGTGTGATGGTGCTGTGGTTTTGGCTGTGACTGTGGCTTCGAGTTCGGGTGTTGATGTGCGTGTAGATGAATATGTGGACGTATGTAGACACTTCAATCACGCTCACTCACACACCTACTCGGACGCTCAAGGAAAAAAGCTTCGGCTGAAATTAGATTTTTATGAAACAAAATCGAGATTATGGTCGATTAAAGATATTCGCTTTGTTTTGTGATGAAGGAAACCTCCTTAATCGATTATAATTTTGATTTTGTTTCACAAAAATCCGGTTTTAATCGAGTCCTTTTTTATTGGACGGCACCCCAAGCAAACTTTATTTCATGTCAGACTGATAATTTTCACTGGCATATGCTATGACAAGTTGTACACAATGCCTGTTCGTGACAATTGATGTCAACATAACGTATCAAGTTAATAAAATGACGTCCACACAAAAGATATACAACAATGAGCTCATAAAAACGATAAGAGAATATATAGCTGTCTACATTTGTAAAAATAAAATTGTTAAAACTATTAATGCTTGTCTTAACAGTGCTATTTTTTGTATTGGTACTCTCGTGCAAAAGCTTCTTTTATATCTATAATACTGATGGTGATGAACTTACGGGCGAGTACGATTGTCTACTTACTATCGACAGTTATATGGATATGACCACTGGAGAGTATTGTCGTCGACTACCATATGAAACATTGTCTTCGTCATTTGGAATTTGGCAGATGATGAAGCGGAACGAGACTTGTTTGGAGACGAAGATCACGTTTGATGAACTGCAACAGCGAAACGTAACCAGTGCTGATCTACTTGCTTCGTTCGCACCGATTGACTTAATTGACAAATACGAAAGATTTTTGCGGCAAGGTGGAAGCAGTAACGAAACAGCAACTCTTCAGGATTACTTCTGCAATTGTACGAATGCCCAGCGACAAGCATTTGGGCGCAATTGTGAATACGCTTTCAGACTTCAGTTGACCCAAGGCGAACTAAAGAAACATCCACTTTTTCGATTTCAAAGAATCATCGATATGCTGTTCATATTGTCAGGTCAAAGCAGTCCGCAAAAATTTGTATACACAAAAGGCACGTGCTATACAGGTCTACCTGAATGTCGCATGAATGCTCCTGATCTTTGTCTTCATTGGAATCAAATCTGTGACGGTAAGTGAAAATCATTTAACATCATAAGAGACGATTTGAATACAGCAGATCGGATGTAACTGGTTATGTGTGAGATAGCTAGTACTCTGTTCTGCAAAGAATGTCAAAGTGTAGCCAGCATCAAGACTTTTTTTTTGATAAAACTTTAGACAATACCGTGATTGCTGCAATATCATTGACTGCATATAACGAATCACTTCGTCAATGTATGATTGCTGTCGAAGAATCTTGCTATTGGAAGAGTCTATCCTGCATTGTTTAGTTTTTTCCAGATGACTCTTGCGTAATTCTGACTAACAAAACACGATCCTTAAGAGAGGGTCCGCGAGAGGACCACCATACTCTCCATATAGGTCGCCGGGGAAAAAATTTTTTTTTTCGATTTTATTTTCTTAAATGATAGGTCTAGGTAAACTATAGTTAAATCCAAAATATTAGCGCATTTGGTTTTACCTATGAAAAATGCGAGCTAAAACAAGTTTAAGAGGGTCAAAATTGACCCTAAAAAGTCGCTAAAAATGGGTGTGCTCAGTATTTTGATATTTTCTCATGAATGGTTTGACCGTTTGAGATCGGGCACATCTCATTAGATAGGGGATAGTATAGGCTACAAATTTATCCTATTTCGATGGTTCATATCTGGCATAAAAGAAACGCTATAGATCCAAAACCTTCAAAATTCCAAGAAATTCTACACTCTGAGATAGCAGTATTTTGGGTTTTTCTTGAGTAGTGCAAGCGATGCCAAACTTCTTTTTTAACTAGACATAGATCTCTTCAAGATACATCTTTTGACATTAAATTGTCAAGACGGAAAAACTAGGGGGCCAAGTTAGCATGGATCACACTGTCCCCTACCCTACCTAGTCACCGTTGATCCTACCCCACAAAGACATATAATGTCTACAGAAATCACGAAAATTGACTTCAGATTCGTGTTCAGTTTGAAAAACTGACTTAGATAGGATATTTTAGATTGATTCCTTATTTGTACCAAGTGTGTTAATGACTATGGGTCCACTTTATGGCTATATGATACACATATGCAACGGTGTTTTGATAATAATTCAACAATAATAATAGCTATCGGGTTCTGATTTTTACCATTCGGTACCCCTTTTTGAAAGTTAAAAAAAAAAACTTTTCAAACTCAAAAACTACTGACGAGTTGAGACGTGCCGAGCCACATTGCTCTCGGAGCACATTTTTATGCATTTTTGCTCCCTACTTAGCCACTTTTTCGTTACA